CGGCCAGTAGTGGTTCTCCATGTACAGAGGGGAAGTAGATCCTGCCCAAGACACCATTAGATAATAGGAACCTGCCTGGCGGGGTAAGGGTGGCCATAGAGGCTACTCAGCCTTGCAACCAACATTTGCCCAGCAAGCTTTGAAAGAGGACACAAAGCTGCCATTCATTGGGACATCCATCAGGGACAGCCATTTCTTCTCTAGCCTGTCCAAGCTAGGAGCCAAATAGCCAATTCTACATGAGTGGTAGTGACTCTGGACCACAGCCTCCTGCTGTACATAGGAGGTGCACAATGGGATCCTGTAATACTTTTGTGATCCAGAAATTGTGCCTGTGCCCTTTGCAAGACACCCTTACTCCATACTGGCTCTGTTGCTAAGCTCTGAGGTGGGGACCAGGCACCCAGAACAGAAATGCCCACATTCCCTTTCTACAGACTTCCTGCCATTTAGCCCACCTGAACTGTCACCTGCCACCTCCAACCCAGCGCCCTTGACCTCCCTCACCTCCCTGCTAATCATATCTCCTCACTAGGCCCTACTCACAACAGGAAGTTTCTGACCTTTGGAGGCCTTGCCTACTAACAAAGCTGGCAAGAAAGAGATATTTTGGGATTGTCTAGGGTCCAAGAAGTACCTGCCACATAGTGGTAGATGCCCCCGCATCCTTGGACCCCTTGACCCCTGCCTAGTGGGACTCCTGGATACCAAGTCCAATAACAGTAGCCATGCAGAAGTGAACAGGGTGCCAGACAGCTGGAACCCAGAGGTGCCCAATTCAGGGACTAATCACCAAAGCCCAAGGTATACTGTGCTGGATGGTTTTTCTGCCAACTTGATACAAGCCAGGGTTGTCTGGGAAGAGGAAACCTTAACTGAGAAAATGCTTCCATCAAATTGGCCTATGGGACATTTTCTTGATTAATGATTGATGTGGGAGGGCCCCACCCATTGTGGGTGGGGCCATTCCTGGGAAAATGGCACAGAGTTGTATTAGAAAGCAGGCTGAAAGCCATGGTTAACAAGCCAGTGAACAGCACTCCTCCATGCTCTCTGCTTCAGTTTCTGCCCCTAGATGATTACCCTGAGTTCCTGCCTTGGCATCCTATGATAACAGATGGATTATGACCTCTAAGCTAAATAATATTTTATCATAGCAATAGAAACCTAAGACATACACAGTGTAGCAGAGGTCAGCAGGCTTCAGTCACATCATACCCTTGAAGTCACTTTAGAAGGGATGTCACCCCAGGAGTGAAGCAGTCTCCACTACTGTACCTAACCTACACTTTCCCTTACAAGATGACCCATATGGGGTCTACTTACCCCTGGAAGGGCCTTCTTGATGGCCAGGGTATAAGGAGCATCTCCTAGTGGACATTCACAAGTGGCCTGCAGACTAGTCCCAGAGGCTGGCTGGCCCCAGGGCTGAGGCCACATGTATCTGGGAGAAGTCCTGGCCAGATGGCTGGCAGCTAGGGCCACTTGGGCAGAGCTGGCGGCCAGCCGGGACCTAATGGGCTGCCTAATGAGCCCCCACACAATTTTTCACCCATATTTTTCTAATAAAAAAAGCAGCTAGACACCAGCCACAGCCCTGAGGAGGAGCCATCTGTCTGCCCACTCCTGAGCTACAGCCAGCTGCCTCAGTAGAGTGTAGCCCTGGTGGGTGGAGGTGCATAGCTGTCCTGTGAAGGGCCAGTGGAGCTTGTGGGCTGCTGAGATTCAGGAAACAGAGGTAAAAAGTCAACTTGAAAGAATTTGCCCAGAGTGACTGCATCCTGACCTGCAGCAGAGCTCCAGGCTTATCCCTGGGGGAGGGACATAGAGTACTAGAGTACTAAATTTGGATTCTGTCAGCTTTGGAAGAAAGATGCTCAGAGTACAGAAGGATCATCCTATCTGGGTGAATTGTCCAGTTCCACCAGCATGTCCAGTCTCCCCTTCCTGGTACTATAGGGCTAAGCCTATCTGAGTCAGTGCCAAGGCTCCTATACAATGAACTTACTGTTTTTTCTCTCTCCACCCCCACCTCACTCCAGGGTTTCTCTATGACCCTGGCTGTCCTGGAACACACTATGTAGACCAGACCGGGATGGGTTCAAACTAACAGATCTGTCTGCCTCTGCCCTACGGAGGGTCAGCGACCCCGTTCACTGCTTCCAAGCCACGTGTATCAGGGAATGTGAGACAGTACTGTGAAAATTAAAGAACAAGTTCCGGGATCCCCAGTGAATACGGACTGCTGAAAGGCCTCTCCCTCCCAAGTTCTTGCTGTGCTGAAAAGATAGGGATATCACTACCTCAGAAACAGGGCAGTGTGCAGTGGGAATTCCCGCTGCCCATGACCTTGGGCTATCTGGCCTGATAGAGGTGGTGCTTCTTGCCTGCCTATGTGACCTCTTAAAAGGGAAGGAGGAGGGGATTGTGAGCTCTCTCTTGGATGTGGAAGGATGTGGAAGGATGTGGAATGAGACCTGGTCTGGAGCTTTCCCCATCTTTCCCTGGGAGACAAAGAGGCAATTCCTTTATTTTGTATCAGTGAGTCTGTTTTCCCCATAGAACCTCTTAATAAATTGATTATATATATCAGGCTTCTCAGTAGGAAACCTGGCCTTGGCAAAGCTATGCCCAAGAAGGAGACAGGATCTGGCCACCTAGGATCCAGCATTGTGAGGAGGGAAGCACAGATCTGGACTCTGATTCACAGCCCCCAAACTCAGGATCCCAGAATCCAGGAAGTCAGCATCCCTCTTTTAGCAGGAGTTGAGAGGTCTGAGCTATGATCTGTACCCGTGGTGTTGGGGGTACTTGGGAGGATGCAGCTCCCACACAAAACCCTTTGCTATATACTGATCCATCGGGATGGTAGCCTCAGGAGTGACAAGAAATGACGATCATGATTGCTACAGGATGATAACTTCCCTGTAATTTAGATGTGTGAGTAGACAAGGTCCCTAGAAGGGAACCTCAGGTCGGGGTCTTGCCTTCCCATAGACCCCAGGTTTCTCCAGCAGTCACTCATTTCCTGGCCTGTACTCTCCCACTCCAGTGGCTCTTGGGCCCCAAATTACTGCCAGGGATGAAGTTCTCCTCTCTGGCCTCCACCTGAGGGATGAGATATATCACTGTCATACCTCTGGGCCTTTCTTCCCGTGGCTCTCTTCTGTAGACGGCACCAGGACAGACCAATGTAGCCATCACAGAGAGACCCCAGATGCTCATGGGAAGGGAAATCCCCAGAGCAGCAGGTCACTCACTCTGCTGGCTGCTCTGTGCCCCTTGTATTTGCCAGTTTAGACTCACTAAGACCACCACTACAATGACAAAACAGAGACCGTGGAACAGGACAGGTGCCACCTTGGCTACCCTTGAGACCCTGGCTTATTCACCTTCAGAGGGAGGTGAGTGAAGGTGACAGGTGTGTTCTCCCATCCTCCTTGGCTGCTACCCCTCCTTAGGGTCCCACTTAGCCCCTCCAGTGTAGACCTCTCTGAAGACTCTACAGTACTGTCCTTCTGGGACCCCACCCAAGAGGCCTGGGTATAGCCTTGGGCACAACACTAGATAGCAGACCAGGCATCCTGGAGGCTCAGGGTCAACTCTGGCTGCTGACAGTAGTTGGGGGAAATGACAGGGACTAGTTAGCCATTCTGGCCACCTGCTCTCAGGTGGGTGATGGATTTGTTTCCTCTAGAAGACAGGATAAAGGAGCAGGAGCTCAAAACCCCTTCCCATCTCCCTCCCAGCCGTATGCTCTGAGCAGCTCTGGGCTACAGAGAGAAGTTAGCTTTATACTAAAGGTGGCACCAAGGGACCTGCAGGCTCAGCACTTCCCCAGGTGCTTATTTAAATGTTACATCTGTATAACGCTTCTGTCAGCGGAGGCAGCAGCTCCAGACAGGGAAGGGCACAACTCCACCTTTCCCACAGGTCTACCACCCTGAGCCCCAGTGGTTCCTTCTGGACATATTGATCTCCAGGGCTTTTTTTCCCAGACATGTTCTGTTCAAGGGACCTATAAGGAGAGCCTGCACCACAGAGGGAAACAGTGGAGGCAGCACAGGGACTTGAAATCTGACAATACTGGCATGTGGCCACCAGAGCCAGAATGGCTTGGCCCTGGGTCCTATTATTAATGTACCTTTGACAATCTGGGGCTAGTTAAACTGAACCCACCCAAAGCCTACCAAGAGGCCAGACATGGCTCCATGGAGCCGTGCACTCCAAATAAAGTATGCATGAGCAGACACCAAACACCCTTAATGCACCCTGAAGATCAACACATACAAAACCCTTTTCACAAAAACTTGCCTCAAACCAGAGCCCAAGTCTAACTTTTGGAATTGCCATATCCAACCCAGGCTACCTGCACTCCAGTTCTCTTGGCTAGGCCTTTATTTGCTCAGAGGCCAAGGTCAGTAAGACAGGACCCTGCATCTGGTAGCCCCAACCCACTTGATAAGTGTGACCTCTGCTAAGTCCCTTCCCTCCTGACCTTAGATTCCTCAACCATTTGTAATAAAGTGCTACCTGGAGGGCTCAAGAACCCAGAAGGACCCTGCTGAGAGGTTGCAATGGTAGCATGTTACTCCAATACTAAGCACTGAGCAGCACAAACCCTGGATTAATGGGGATATTTTGTTTTGAACAGTAGAAGGCAATAGTGACCAACAGTCCCCACCTCACCTCCCTGGAGCTACCTGCAGCTGCTCAGCAAAAGCCCTGCTATCCTCCTCGAGGCCAGCCAGGGCCTAGGGTGACCTCCATCAGTGTTTCAACAATGGTTGCCTATCTGAGGTTTACTGATGGGATGCCCATGCCACTATCATGGCAGGCACACCCAGCTAGGGAGAAGCTTCTTATACTGCCTGTCTAATAGAGAGAACTCCCAGACACTGGCTCTTCCTAGCTTTCAGGGCCTGCCCTGCTCTAGTGAGGGTTGGTGGAGTGGGTATCCCAGGTCAGTCCACAAGGAAGGGAGGAAAAGCCAGGCTCACCTTGTCATCCACGCCACTTTCACTGTCGCACTGTGGGTCAGAGAGAGAGAAGTAAGTCAGTGCCTTTCATACTACCAGGGTCACAAGACTATAGGGACAGGTGGATATTCCTAGCCACATCTCAGACAGGAGGAACAATGGAAAGGAACAGGGACAGATGGAAAGTAATAGGGCTGGCTTGTCTCAGGGTAGGTAGATTCCAATCCCCTAGGACCAGGCCACACCCTGGAGCTTCCGAATGACCGATGATGTTGGGAAATGGGCAGGGGTTTTACCCAGTCCAGATGAACTCAACTATCCCAGGAAAACCCATAGGCCTCTCCCCATGGAGAGTTTTTGTGAGGGCCCAGGTTGAAGGAGGCCACCACCACACAGGAGACTCACTGCCAGGCCAGGCAGCAGCTGTACACAACAGCTGTTTTACATCCAGATGAGATGGGTACAGAGGAGACAGGCGGGATCACAAAGGCCAGTGAGCCAGTAGACAAGTGACACCCAGTTCATGCTCCTTCTCCTGGTCTGAACCAGGACTTTAACTGGAGATGTCAAGCACCCATCCAGCGGCTCTGGCCTCGGAAAAGATCACACTTCCGCTGTGTAGCCTTGACAAGTCCCTTGACCTCTCAGTGCCTCAATCCATGCTTCTGTAAAGCAGGGGCAACAGCTCCTCTCAGTGTGAGTGTAAGAAGCAGAGGACATAGGCCTTCAGTTTGGACTCGCCTGGGATACTCAGGGTGGAGCTCAGGGTAGTCAGATTGTAAGAGACCCATTTGTGAGGACAGCTGGTTAACTCAAGATGCTCATAATCAAGAAAACAAATCTTTGCTTCCCATTTTCAGTAAGCAGATTTGAACAGGACACACTGCTAGAGAACAATGCAGTTTCCTCTAAAATAAAAAGGGGGAAAACTTGCTAGCAACTGCAATGTCTTCAATGACAAAGTTCAGAGTTAGATAGAAATGTGTTCACCAGCCGCTCACTTAAACTGAAGCTCTCTTCTAGCCCAAGGACAACATGCCAGGCAGCCAGGACGGACATGTGGAGGTTTCCTGAGGCTGGTGAGCTTCAGATCTGCAGCTCATGGACCTCTCCGTCCAGTCATGTAGTATGGACCATGGCCTGGGTGAGAAGGCACCAAGACTCTGGATGCTAAGCTCATGGGTAGGCATCATTTCCTAGACCAGTGGTTCTCAAACTTCCTAAAGCTTCGACCCTTTAATACAGTTCCTCATGTTGTGGTGACTCCCAACCATAAAATTATTTCATTGCTACTTCATCGCTGTGATTTTGCTACTGTTATGAACTGTAATGTAAATAACTGATATGCAGGATACCTGATATGTCAACCACACTGTCCTTGAGTAAGGAAGACACATGTGGCTCTTCGGCTGTGCACACAGCCAGGCCCCTCCCAAGATCCAGTAAGGACTAGGCTTGGATCCTTCAAAACCATGGCCCCCTCCCACTGTGAGGTAGACAAGATCTGGTGAGAAGCACATAACAGGGCCTCTGTGTTATTGAAGGAGAGTTTGCAAATGAGGACATGAGTGTAGGGGAGGGAGGGATGACAGAGCTCATGCGACCTTCGAGGGAAATAGGAGATGAAGCCATGGAGGTGAGTGGAGCCAAATACACCAGGATATTCTAGTGCCTCTGGAATGGGACAGTGTCAGTGGCATGAGTAGGCCCTCAAGGGAGTCTTTTGTCAGGTCACTGAGACAGATGTATGCAGGTAGAGTGGAGACGGTGGCTTGGGGGTGGGGACTAACAGTCCCTCCCTCTTACCTTGCTGTCTGGACTGCCAGGACCCATGATCAGGCCTCTTACCATCAAACCTCATTAAACTGTCAGCGCAGCAGGGTCAGACCCCTGCGCGGCATGTCTGTCAGGGGCAGCCTGAGGACAACTGGGTCTCCTGCAAGCACTGTCCTGTTCCTTCTTCAGACCCAGAGCCCACCTGCACCAGATCCTATGGCCAGAACAGCAATTCACAGACCTAGACTGGTCACAGACTGTCCCATGGTTTTAGGTCTGAAGCCAGACCAGCAGGGCTGAGCAGTTAGAACCTGAGGAAGAGCAGTTTATGGTATCTGCCAAGTGAGAGAACCCTCCAGAAGGTACAGGAGAGGCTGCCCAGATCTTATATTGTCAGACAGTGCTACATCATCAGCAATATGTAGACAGGACCATAAACACAGTCATGTGATTAAGTACTACTGACTTAACATTTAACTGCAATGGAGTTAGAATTGAGTGAGGCAATTAATCAGGGCAAGATAGGGGAAAAAAAAGACACATCTACCTTCTGAAAGCAGCCTGAGCAATGTTCAGTGACCATGGAGAGCCTGGCCCCAGTGTTGGCATGGACAGGCCTCTTGTGTAAGGAGAAATTTCAGGTGTATATACCCAGAGATCAAGACATGGGCTCTAAAGATACCTGCTTTACTGCTGTATTACCTGTGATGCTGTGCCCCAATTTACCTCCTTGTGCCTCAGTTTATGCTTCCAGTAAAACAGGGATGGATGATGAGTCATTTACAGGAATGTATTGTGACTTATATACACACACACAACACTAGGACAGTGCTGGATACCTAGTATAAGACATGTGTGAGGCCAGGCAGTGGTGGCACATGCCTTTAATCTCAGCACTCAGGAGGCAGAGGCAGGCCAATCTCTGTGAGTTCAAGGCCAGCCTGGAATATAGAGTGAGATCCAGGACAGGCACCAAAGCTACACAGAGAAATCCTATCTCAAAAACCAAAATACCATCACCATCATTATCACTTTTCCCATCCCCATCACCACTCTGATGCTTCATCTTGTGACCTTGACAGGATTTGGAATCACCTAGGAGATATACTTCTAAGCATGCCTCTGAGGACATTTCCGAAAAGGTTTCATCAAGGTGGTAAGGCTCACCCTAAATACAGGTAGCACCTTCCCATTGTCTAGGGTCCTAAACTAAGAGAAAAGGAAAACCTGAGCTAAACACTAGCATTCCCCTCTCTGCTTCTTGAGCATATACATGTAAATATGTTGACTCCTGATCCTGCTGCCACGCTTTCTGAACCATGATGGACTGTATCCTCTAATTGTGAGCTCAAATAAATTCTGCAATTTGCTTTTGCCAAGTATGCTGTCATAGCAACAACAAAATAACTAAGAAAACTGGAACCAAGAAGAGGAACCATTGCTGTGATATACCCAACCATATGGTTCCTAGGCCCTTAGAACTGGTTTGTAGGAGGTATGTCTAAGAGTCTGACGCTGTAGGATAGAAAAGCCATAGAATGGTTTAAGCAGAACTTTTTTTTTTTTTCAGACAGGGTTTTTCTGTGTAGCTTTGGTGCCTGTCCTGGATCTCACTCTGTGGACCAGGCTGGCCTCAAACTTACAGAGATCCGCCTGGCTCTGCCTCCTGAGTGCTGGGATTAAAGGCATGCGCCACCACTGCCTGGCGATTTAAGCAGAACTTAATGGGCCATTCTGATAGGAGTCTGGAAGACTAGAATACCAAAAGAAATACAAACTGTGGAAGCTAAGAGCATTAAGTTTCGGAGAAGAGCAGGCCTCTGCTAGAAACTGGGATAGCAACCATTTGTAACATTTTGGCAAAGATTCTGTTTGCATTTTGCCCATGTCTTGAGGACTTCAGTGAGGCTGATTGAAACACAGGATTCACTTGGTGGAGTTAATTCCAAGACAGCACAGCATTCAAGCTGCGGCATGGCTCCTGCTCACTGCCCTCACTCAGGTCTGCAGTGACAGACAACAGACAGTGGAGTGGAGGGAGAACGTACAGTCTGGCTCGGAGGGTGTTTGAACCATTTAAAGTTGCAGGTGCAGAAGCATTGAGAAGCAGCTATCATTCTTTAAGAAACTAGTGTCATTAAGGAGACGCCTCCTTAATGGGAAGATGGTGAAGCCAGTAAATTACTTGCCACACACACATAAAGACCTAAGTTTGAGTAAAAAGCCAGGTGTGGTGGCATGTGCTTGTAACCAGCCCTGGGGATATGGAGGAGCAGCCTAGCCTAATCAATGAGCCTTGAGCAGCTTTTGAGATGGACTATATGCATTTTACATTGGATGAACATGACACTTTAGGGACCAGGAGTAGAATGATGTGTTTGGATTTCAAGTTCATATGGAGTGGGAGCGTGATAATTAAGGTTAACCTGACAGGGTTTAGAATTGCCTAAGAGATATACTTTAGGATGTGTTTCCCTCCCTGAATGTGAGCAGCACAATCCCATTATTTTATTTATTTATTTATTTATTTGTTTGTTTATTCATTTAGGTTTCTCGAGACAGGGTTTCTTTGTGTAGCCTTAGCTGTCTTGGAACTAGACCAGAAACTATAGACCAGCCTGGCCTTGAACTCACAGAGATCCACCTGCCTCTGCCTCCTGAGTATTGGAATTAAAGGTATACACAATCACTGCCTGGCCTTTTTTGTTTTTTGTTTTTTAAGACAGGGTCTCTCTACATAGCCCTGGGTGTCCTGTAACTCACTATGTAGACCAGGCTAGCCTCAAACTCAAAGATCTCCTTGCCGCTGCCTTGGCCTCAAAATCACAGAGATCCACTTGCCTCGGCCTCCTACGCACTGGGATTAAAGGTGTGCACTACCACTCACGGCGAAATAAACCCTTCCTTAAGTGAATGGGCCAGGTATCTTGTCACAACAACTAGAAAAGTAATCACTGCTTCTACCCACTGAAGCTACCCCATTCCTTCCTGTCACCTGTCCACCTTTGCAGCCACCCCTCACATGGACCACTCTGACTTGACAGTTCCCCCATCACCCAGCTTTTCCTACACTCCTTCTAGAAACCTGGTCAGCTGCCTGCTGGGGTGGGAACTACTTATCACTCCTACAGAGACACAAGTCAGCATGGTTAAGGCAGGAGCAACACTGTCCTTTCATCTCTGTGTCAACAGTAATTACAGCTTACAGCAGTATACAGAGGAGCACCACTGTTTCTCACCACTCAAACAAAATTCATGAGGAAAGACCTTGTAGC